AGTCCCTGGTCTGAATCAGGTCTCTGTTTCATCCGGATGAGGAATGGGAAATTTTTTTTAATTTCCAAAAGTTTCATAAGATGGGGGAAATTATTCCCATCCAACTCTGCATAAATAATAAGGTGTGATTGATGATTTCAATGATAGGGGGAGAGAGATTTCCTTAAAACTGAGGACCACCTATGGGAATACATGCCCAGCTCGCCTTGAAATACTTGTAGGCTTCTTTGAAAAATCTGCAATAATTAGTAATTAGGGCTGACTGTATTGGTAAATGACATATAACACTACAACAGAGGAAACATGGGAAATTTGCGGGTTTAAGGTAGAAAGATAAGAAAAATGAATTTTAATGGACACTGGTGAGATATCACATGACAGGATTTGGAAACAATATTAAGTCCAAACAGCCTGGTAATATTAAAGAATCATTAGGTCAAAAGTTGCAACAAAGATGGACCAGAAAAGAAGCAGGACATGCTGACACACTTCAGAAGAGAAGAATAGGTGATGCTGATAACATTCGTATTGGAGAGAGTCCACTGGCAATGCAAACTCAGACTTGGAGAATAAGGTTTGATTTCTTTTAAACAGAGGATCAGATGTTTAGTCTCCAGAAACAGCAGCAGATATTGAAGACTGAGAGGAACAGAACAACAGAAAATCACGTTCTTGGAGAAAGCCAGGCAGTGCAGGTGGGTCAGGGTCAATGCAGAAGCAGCACTATTACTCCATGAGGTAAAAGAGGAAGATGGAGAAGATAAAGAAACAGAATTAGATAAAAAGCATGCAGAATCCGAGACAGCATAGTATGGGGCCAAGCCTGAGTGATGTGTTCCTTTTGGAAATGGGTGAAGTCAGGACTTGCTCTGAAAGCACAGAGATCCACAAGCAGTGATTTGAGTCCCATAGCATTAGGTTATTTTTTCAGCCTTTGATCTTTTGGCTTCTCAGGACTTTTGTACACAACTAAAATAACTACATCAGTTTTAATTCAAGCCTTTTTGCAAGTCTGTGTGTGGACACTCTTTTGTGGACTCAGAACGTCTTACTCTGATTTAGTTTAAATTAGTAAGGAATCAACTTAAGCTAACCCACACTAAGACACTTCTATTCTGAAAGAAGAGTGTCCTTACAGGTTTCAGAGTAACAGCCGTGTTAGTCTGTATTCGCAAAAAGAAAAGGAGGACTTGTGGCACCTTAGAGACTAACCAATTTATTCGAGCATAAGCTTTCGTGAGCTACAGCTCACAGAGTTACCCCAAAATAAGAAAAGACGTGAATTAACACTGATGCAGTTATTTTGCTGTGTGAGTGTCAGTAATTTTTATGCATAGCTATGGCAAGTTTGTAAAGTTTGTCAGTGAAAACTGTATTTCATTGTAATTTTAGTTTTTAAAATTGTAAATGTCAAAAGTTAAACTGGTCCATCACAAATTTTAAAAAAGCTAGCCTGTTTCTAAGGGCTAGTCTACACTAGAAGCGCTACATTCGTGCAGCTGCACTGGTGCAGCTGTGCCACTGTAGGGCATCTGGTGAAGATACTCTATGCTGACGTGAGAAAGCTCTCCCATCGGCATAATAAATCCACCTCTGCCAGAGGCAGTAGCTATGTTGTTGGGAAAAGCTCTCCTGCCAGCGTAGCACTGTCCACACGGGTGCTTAGGTTGGTGTAACTTATGTCACCCAGGGGGCTGGCACATTCACATCCCTGATCAACGTATATTATACTAAAGTAAGGGGTAGCGTAGACCTGGCCTAATTTTTACTTTGAAAAACAGGGATGCGGTGTGAAAGAGATTTTCTTGTTTGTCCAACTAATTACTGATAATTCAAAGTGGCATTAAAGCTGAAGGCTGGCATGTAAGCATTTGGATTTTGGACTAGTTAAAATTCAAATGAGCCTTTTAAAATAATCTGGAGCAACCAGCTCTTTGAAGAATGGAAGACCAGAGAGGAGAAATTGAATCTGTTGGAGACAACATCTTTTGTCATGGCAGTGATACGATCTGTGGAGACATCATTAAAGCATAGGAGATAAAAGAGGCCAGGCAGGATGTTGAAAGAACAGAAGTATGATTAATAATAAAAGGGAGAGTTTTTCCTGATTAAAAACACACAGAAGTGTTTAATTTCTGAATTTATAACTTAATAAACGGAGCAAAAGATGTTCCTCTCTGTTTTTGAGGCAAGATCAGAAATACAGGGGAGAAGAATACTCTGCTAAGGACAGAAAGATCATTAAAATGTTACATCCTAGATCTTTAATAAGAGGAAGATTCTAGCCCACCAGAGCTTTAGTAAGAACCTTCTGCACCATCTAGTCCATCCCTCTGAATACTATTGGTCTTTTATCCAGATGTCTGGACCCAATGCTGCAATCCTTTCTCAGGAAAAACTCCCACTGAGGGTCAACAGGAGCTGTGCCTGAGTAAAGCTGGAGTAAGAATATAAGATGAGGTATTGACTACATCCAAAGTCAACAGGATAACATTCCCAAAGAGATGAGAGTCCCAGAGAGTGTTGTATATTCCCCTCTGCCAAAGGCACAGTAGTATGCACAAGTCAGCATAAAGACTTCTGTGAGTAAGTCTCTTGCAGAGACACATTTACAAAGATTTCAATGCAAAAATTTCTCTGCAGAAAATATGTGCTGAAGCACCTCACCATCTGAAACAGCTTTAGCTAGCTGGCTCCTTCAGGGCCTCCTGCTCTAAAGTGGCCAGCATCGTCTGACCTGTCCCCTCCTCTTCTCACAAAGGGGTGGCTAGCTGGTCGTATCCGGAAGGAAATATCGTAGAAGCCAGCTGGGTTATGTTACCATCAGGAGATAACATGGGAAGTGGTCAGTTTCTCTCCTCAGCAGAAATCAAAGGGAGAAGCCAACCAGCTCCTTCTACAAAAGATTTGGTCAGCCAACCACCATATTAACCAGCCTTTTCAATCATGTTCCCGTTGAATTGCAGTGATGATGTCCGACAGACTATTAGCCTCGAATATCTGCTAATACCTCTTAAGAGGATATTAGCTCTGCCTAGAGTTGGTCAGAAAAACTTAATTCATTCTAAATCAAAAAGCTTCAGGAAATCATGTCAATTTTGCCAACATTTTGTTGTGGACAAAAACTGAAAAAAAAAAGTTCCTACAACATTGACCTGTTCTGTTTTGCTGTTTTGTTTTGAAATGACATTTCATTTCTATTTTTTATTTTGAATTATTATTATATAAGATCATATAAAAATAAAAAGTCAAAATCAAAACATAATTAAACATTTCAATCACTCCAAAACTAAAATTTTCAGAATTTTCCTTTGCGGAGAATTTCAAAGTTTCCAATTCAAAACACAGCCAAATTCAAAGTCATTTCATGTCCTCCAGCTTGATCTAGCTCTGATCTATTTTTGGTCATGTGACCAACTTGCAATCAAATTGCTTAAAAAATTCTAGAGGTTTAATCAAAACTGAATCATATGTTCAAACATATTGTCATAAATATAAAGGGAAGGGTAACCGCCTTTCTTTATACAGTGCTATAAAATCCCTCCTGGCCAGAGGCAACATCCTTTCACCTGTAAAGGGTTAAGAAGCTAAGGTAACCCCGCTGGCACCTGACCCAAAATGACCAACGAGGGGACAAGATACTTTTAAATCTTGAGGGGGACAAAGGGTTTTGCCTGTCTGTGTGATACCTTTGTTGGGAACAGATCAAGGATGCAAGCCTTCCAACTCCTGTAAAGTTAGAAAGTAATCTAGCTAGAAAATGCGTTAGATTTTCATTTGTTTTTTTGGCTTGTAAAATTCGCTGTGCTGGAGGGAATGTGTATTCCTATTTTTGTGTCTTTTTGTAACTTAAGGTTTTGCCTAGAGGGATTCTCTATGTTTTGAATCTGATTACCCTGTAAGGTATTTACCATCCTGATTTTACAGAGGTGATCCTTTTACTTTTTCTTTAAATAAAATTCTTCTTTTAAGAACCTGATTGCTTTTTCATTGTTCTTAAGATCCAAGGGTTTTGGTCTGTGTTCACCTGTACAAATTGGTGAGCATTCTTATCAGCCTTCCCCTGGAAAGGGGGTGTAGGGTTTGGGGGGATATTTTGGGGGAAGACGTCTCCAAGTTGGCTCTTTCCCTGTTCTTTGTTTAAATTGCTTGGTGGTGGCAGCGTATCAGGTTTTTAACCTAAGCTGGTTCCCAAGGCAAGAAAGAAATCTGTGCCTTGGGGAAGTTTTAACCTAAGCTGGTAAGAATAAGCTTAGGGGGTCTTTCATTCAGGTCTCCACATCTGTATCCTAGAGTTCAGAGTGGGGAAGGAACCTTGACACATATAAATTAGTGTAAAGAGCTTCCCCTGCCCCATTAGCTGTGTCACAGGCAGGTGTGGTTTGAGAGAGAGGCTGGAGGAAAGGGAAATGAAACAAAGTATTCTATTGGTAGGTAGAACCACCTGGTACCAGCTCTAGGGGAGGCAGGCATTCCAGTATGAAGGCTCTAACTGAGTTAAAATTTGAGAGAATATTTTAGACAATGTGGTCACTCCTCTTTCCTTCGAGTATCCCTGGATTATACAGTATGTTCCGAATAGATAATGGGACAGTGCTCAGCAGCATCCCCAGCTAGGTCCAGATTTTCAAAAGAGCTGAGTTTCCATTTAAGCATCTAAGGAAGGATCAGATTTACAAAAATATTCAGCACCCAGCATCTCCTAGTGTGGCACTTAAGGACAGATTTTCAAGAGACCCAAAAGAGTGAAAATCTGATTTCTTAGTTTGATTTCTCAATGGGAGTTGAGCTCTTTTGGGAATTTGGTCCTGATCGTGGCTGCTGAGTATTTGATAATCTGAGTATTTGATAATGCAGTGTTTCTTTTATTATCCAACTTTTTATTAATTCAAAATTTTTGCTAATGTCTCTCTGAATGCTGGGGCAGCATTTGTAACACAACTCAAAAATATTTGTGTAAGCATTGCTGTTTGTTCATTGAATTCACCATCTTCACTTACTGTTATGATGTGATTTACTGTCTGGAATGGGCTGCTTTTAGCTGGTGCTTCACCAGGACCAGAGTCAGGTGTGTTTGGTTCTAAAAGGATGGATCCCTTGAGAGGGGAAAAGAAAAAAAAGCATAAAATGACCACCTTTATTTTCTGGGTACTGCTAAAATAAAAGATAACTAACTCCCCCACACTCAAATCAGCTTAAACAGTGACTAGACACATTATCATGTAGGATTCCACCAGGGTAAATTCAAGCAGAGTGGGCTAATTCCTCTCACAGTTCCTTAATTCACCGAATATGTGTGTTTGAGTTCTTGAAAAGGTCAGAACACTAAAAAATTGTAAAACGTCAAGCCAAGTGACAATTTTAGTTTTTGAACTTACATTTGTCCTGTTGTCAAAACATTAAAACTCCTTTTTAAATATATTTTAATGTACTAATTCCTTTTCATCTCTCAAAAAAAGTGAAATCTTTCCCCATATTTTAAAATATCTGAATTGTTCTGTTAATAGTGCCATCTTGTGGCATGCACAGGAAATACAGATACTTGTTGAACCAGCTGCATATTTGAGAAGGAATGTCTTCCCTTTTTGGTTCTTGATTTTACACGCTCACCAACTGAACAATATTTAGTAGCTAACACATGTTGAGTGACACTGGGTTCTAAGAGATTATTACTGCATGAGTCCATACTGCACCACTGATTTTTAAGCAGAACTGTCTACTTATTTCAGTCAGGAATTCTACTTCAAAATTGAGGGCACAGTAGGGCCAATAGTAACTAGAAAAGTGGATTTATTTTGCAGATAATCTGCTGATATGAAATACATATGGATAAAATGTTTCTTTCAAATTTTCAGTTTGCCAAAATCCAACTGTTTTCAGGTAATAATAGTCCTTTATTCAAAGAAAAAGTTTGTATTCACCCCTGTGGAAAAGTCCTATAACATTTAACAGAGAATTATAACCTTTCCAAAGAATTTTACAGCCAACCTGTAGAATTCAACCACAGGAATATAATCCTCTATTAAATTCTATAGGGTAGTTTTAAACATTCAAGAGAAAGGATATCATTCTGTTAAATTCTATAATTCTTGGAGTAAATTTCTTGTAGAATCCTGTTTACTTTCTATACCTCCCTATTTTTTTATCCCTATAAATTCTCTAGGACTTTTCTATAAAAGGCTTTGTAGATCATGCATTATATCCCCAATGCAGACAACTTAATACATATTATGTATCAACCTTGATTCAACAAGAAACATCTCAGAATAAATAGCATTAATTCTAGGGAAAATAATAATAATAATAATAGAGTGCTAGCAACAATAATAAAAGGTTACTAGTTTGAGAACTATAGCTTGGAATAGTAGCACCACTGGGTCAGATTCATCCCAGGACAGCCCTGGCAAATGCTGCTCGGAGGAAAATCCTGGCACAAAACATCTGCAATCTCCTCATTGGGGAAACCTGAGGGACCTACATGAATCAAAAGAACAGGTGGCACTAGTGGAGAAAAAGGCCCAAAGGTAGAGCAGCCAGACATACACACTTATTATTTAGCACATCTCATTTGAAGCCTGTATCAGTAGAGCAATTATGAGCTGACCTCCCCGGTGTGAGCATCCTCTTGAGGGCATAAGGAAGCGTCGTTTATACTTCCTGCACCAAGCTTTGGTAAATCTGGACTAATAAATCTAACTGAAGTAAATAAGAAACCTTCTCAGAATTAGTCATTGAGCTAATAAAGGCAGTGCATTTTCAGGTTCATAATAAGGCGTTCTTTTTTCTTTATGAATTAGCCATTAAAGATCAGGATATTTTGTTAAACGCTTAGAAAGTATAAGATCTGAAAAATATATGGTAAATAATGGGAATAAACTCAGAAGTCAAGGATGTCATTTCATGAACACAAAGTAAAAACTATTTCCCCATGCTAATTTTTCCCCTTCTGTTACTCACACCTTCTTGTCAACTGTTGGAAATGGGCCATCCTGATTATCACTACAAAAGTTTTTTTCTCTCCTGCTGATAATAGCCCACCTTAATTGATTAGTCTAGTTATAGTGTGTATGGCAACACCCATTTTTTCATGTTCTCTGTGTATATATATCTTCCTACTGTATTTTCCACAGCATGCATCCAATGAAGTGGGTTTTAGCCCATGAAAGCTTATTTCCAAATAAATGTTAGTCTCTAAGGTGCCATAAGTACGCCTCGTTCTTTTTGCTGATACAGACTAACACACTACCACTCTGAAACATTTCATGAATAATTTGCATACTGAAACTAAAAACGGTTCCAAAGCTGCAAAGTCCAAATCTGGATCCAAAAATTCAAAATCTGGGATATTCAGATTAAGGATTTTGATTCAGGCGCATAAAAAAAAATCAGATTAAACATGTGTTTATATGACCCAGTGGGGAAGGAGTAGGGAATTCTATCGCTCATGTAAGAAAATACAGCACTCCATTATCAAATAAAGCTTTCTACCTCCAGCACTTTGTCTCCTCCTTGTACCCCAGTCAAGTCCGCTGGGCCATCTTTGGCCACCCTTGCAATTAAGATTGCCTGGTAACATAAAACACAAAATTTCAGATCCAACTGAGTTTATCCCATAGCTCTTGGATGTTAAAAAGTACATGTGCAGCAAATTGATTTTCAAAGCCTGTTGCTCAGCTGCCTCTAAATACATATAAGCTAAATGTCTTAATTAACACATTAACAGAAAAATAAAACCACCCATTGCTGACTGACACAAACAGCAATAAACACAAGTCAGTAACAATTTACCCAGCGCCACGAGGGACATATTTGAGAATAAGGATTTGAATGATAAACTGAGAAAAGACAAGCACTGTTCAAAAAGGGGTTAGTGTGAACGAACAAGTGGGATGGAAGCTGCAAATGTGTGTTACCTTGAATTGTGGGCTGCAAATGGAGTTACCTTGAATTCAGGTGGAAAATAACCAGTGGGATTTCAGCTGTGAGGCCTTCTTCTGGAACTAATTGTTCACATGATGCTTCCTTTCAAAGAGGCGTCACAGTTAAAAGCTACCACCAACTTCAACATCTATCTTGGGGACAAATATAAGAATACCCTTTTGTTCCCCTTGTCAACTTTACTACTAAGCTTACAGCATTACACGGATGATGACTGATGATGACTTCAAAAAGAAAACAGCTAAATAGGCTAGCTTCCAAAAATTGCTTTTTTCCATCTCTTTCTGAAGATTACTTGGTAAATGTTGGAATAATGAAATGCACCTCATCATTTTCTTTATATGGAGATGAGCCCTTTCCACCAGCAATGCTAATACCAAGACTCCCCATTTGACTGCACACAGTAATGGTTATCTGCAAGAGAATTATAGTTAATAACAAGTGGCCTGATGAATCAAAACAGCACCCCATACATTACACAGGCAACAATACTGTAGTTCCCATTCTGTAAACAATCTATCTAATTCAACACAAAGAAAAATGGTGTTTATCCTGTAGTAATATCCTCTTCGCACGGACTACCACATGGAAGTATAACCTTTACCTTTCCCAGAAGCACGAAGAAACACAGTATTTCCAGATCTAGGTCTTAAAGCCATGCAGAGACAATTTTGGAAGCTTATATTTTCTCATCATGTCACCCTTATATACTGAGCAGTATATTAGTGGTTAGTCCCATTGCTTTTAAGAGTACTAATTATGGAGTCAGGTACTACTGAATGGACGAAATCCTAGCCCTATTGAAAGCTATGGCAAAACTCCCATTGACTTCAATGAGGAGAGGATTTCACCCAATGTGAAATAGCTAGTGCTGTTGTATTCTGATCCTCAGGTATCCATTTCAGAGAACAGGTGGGGTGATCAAATTATTTCTTTCACATACATCAATGATTTATTGAGCATTTGCCTTGGCAACAACACTATTTCTATGCATGCATCACAGTGAATTGTAAACCCCTTTTTTGGAAAAGTTTTTATACTCACTTTGGGTTGAAATTTCACACAAGTTCCCATCCCATACACATTCTTTTCTGGACCAGGTAATTACAGTTGATCAGCACTAAACTGGATTTAGACTGCTCTTTTTAGAGCTACTGAAATGTAATCTTCTCCTTTTTTTAAAATCAACATTTTTCAGACTACTAGCTCATTAAATGGTAAAGGCCTTTTGGTTTTAAAAAAGCAAGGGAATTCAGAGTTAAAGCTGACATTGTATTCTTACTACACTCTCACATGCCTAGAAATTTTAGTACATCTGGGCAACACCTTTGTACCATATTCTGCATCTCCAGTCCCTACAAGACAGGCCAAATGGAATTCGTTTAGGTCACAGCGACAACTTAAATTAACCATTACTTTTGCAAGTTCTATTTGATGGTTTTCATAAATAATGTCATTGATATTGAAAAGAAGAAATAGCTTGCAAACATAATTCTAATACAGCGAATATTAGGTAAGGAAAACCATTTAAAATTGAAATTGAGCTGGAAGATAAATAAGGTTTCATCCATCAGTCATGTGTGTAGCTGAGACGCTCTTACTTTTGCTGCTTTAGCTAACACCTCTAAAGCAATCAGAACTTGGATTTTTTAAAATTTTACATTCAGGATTTTTCAATACAGCTGTGGTTTTAAACCACTCAGACAGTGTATTTAATTAATATTACAGTTCTAACATGGTGTGTTGATTTGGAACTAATTATATTTAAACGTGCAAGAAAATGCCTTATTATACTGATTAAAAAACCTACAACACTTAGATTATGCTCCATTTACCATGGAGTCCAACCACTATTTATGCTCAGCCTGAGTAGTCCCATTGAATTCAATACGACCATTCATGAGAGTAAAGTTAGTCACATGCACCAAAGCTCACAAGACCATCATTTCCCACAACGCTTCATTGATCTCATCAGGCTAGACTATAGCGTGGTCTGTGCATCCACATAGGGGAGTAAGACCGTCCCTTACATTCCTGTGCAGCTTCCCCAGGCTCCAGTACCATATGTGTGCATTATGTAGCTGCTATTAGCCCTAACTTAACTAAGTGGGTAGGGAGAGGGCCTGTGCTCCCTCCAGCATGCTGGCCAGCAGAGAGAGAACTCAGCATGGGGAGGGATCATAATTTACTACTGGTATGAACCTGCACCAAGCACTACCCCCTAGAGCAAGCCTCTGAGGCATGCAGTTCCTTCTCTGTGCTGCTCCAGGGGAGTGCACCTAGGCCATGTCATGCCATGATCAGGGCTATGGTCAAACCATGATCTAGTCTCCCCTCCCCTCCCCACTACACACACACACAGTAGTTTTTTCCATAAATCCAAGACCCAGTTTTGCAATTCCCGCTCATAACAGTAGTCCTTGCTCATCTGAGCATTCCCACCAATTGCAAAGAGGTATTCAAGTATGCAAGGTCTGTAAAAACAGGTAAGGGTCTGTAAGGCTGTGTCTTTAATTGTGAGTCACTAAGGCCCAAATATCCACAAGTAACCACTGGTTTTGAATGCCCAACTAGAGACACCTTGGGAATGGATCTCCATAGATGTGGGGCATCCACAACTCCCAAGGACTTCATTTGCACTTGCACTTGTGAGCGTTCAGCCCTTCTGAGAAATCATCCCACAGTGTCTGAAGCTGGGCGTTCAAAAATTTAGTCACCCAAAATCAGGGGCTTCTTTTCAAAAGTTTGGCTACAAATAACTCAGAATATGGACCAACCCCTGTTCCCACTAAAGCCAATGGGAACAGGAATGGACTCCGGACAGCATTATATGAATATATTGTAAGTCAGATGAGGATATTTCTTGTCTTTATATATCCAGGGCCGGCTCCAGCTTTTTTGCCGCCCCAAGCGGCGAAGGAAAAAGAAAAAAAAAAAAAAAAAGAAAGAAAAGAAAAACCAGCCTGGTTGAGCTGCCGCCAAAGTGCCGCCGGAGAGGAAGAGAGGGACTGCAGGGCCTGCTGCAGAATTGCTGCCAAAGACCTGGACATGCCGCCCAGATGACGCTTTCTATTGGCCACCCCAGGTACCTGCTTCCTTTGCTGGTGCCTGGAGCCGGCCCTGATATATCACACTTAAAAATGGTCTCCTTTAAATTCAAAGCTTCTCAGATAAACCAAGAGTCACAGAACAGAACGGGAGTGAAAGGCTCTTCAGAGAGATGCTGCATTACCTTTAATGGTGACTGTGTCACCTCTGCAGCTCTTGGAACTTGCTCTTTCGTTTCCTCTGGAAACCTGTTGCTGTCTGCTGGAAAGCTGCCTGCTGTGGAGGCAGGAGCCTGTGGCTTGTTGTTAGCCTCTGGAAAAGGCTTCGCTTTCACTGCTGCTTTGTGCTTCTCCTGAACAGCTGCTCTAGGGTTTCTTTGATCTTTAATGTTGTCATCAGTGTCAAAAAGACTGCCAGAAAACTTGGATATCGGCTCCTGTTTGTTAGAGAAAGACAAAACAACAGAAATGTAAATGCCTAATTACTGTCTAGGAGCCTGGACATTATATTCAGTAAATTAGTGTCATTTTTCTCTATCACATGGGTGTAGATCGGGGGTAACTCTACTGAAGACGCTAGACTTAACTGTGTCCCCCAAATTCAGATACAGAGGGGATCCTCCATGCAACTGCCTCTGTGACACCACCTCCCATTTCTCAGTGGAGCATGTGAGGCAGGTTTGGGATTCACAAGCAATGGTAGGGGACTGGGTAAGGGTGAAGGTGGGCAGTGGTTGGCTTCTCCTTAGCAGGGTTGAGGCCTCTGCCTGCTCTGAATCCATGGAGATAAGATAATGCAGCCTGGGACTGGATTACCTAATATGCGGAACCTCCTCTGCAGTGGGAATCCTCCACTAAGGGAGTGGGGGGCCAGCTGGAATCCCTGGGACAACAGCTACATTGGAGCCATGCTTCCAGGAAGTGTGAATGGGGCAATGGAAGCACATACATGGTGCAGAGGCATAGGTCCTCCATGCAGATGACCTTATGTCTCCTGTGAATCTCCAGAGATCTGTGTAGTAACCCCAGGATCCATGAGAAGGTGGTGATCCAACCCATTGTTTTAGCTCAGGCTCCAGGAGATAGTGAAGAAGAATGTATGTATAAACCATCCACATAAAACATCTCCAATAATTCATTCAGGCTGAGGAGTTCCTTCAGACAGCTCTGGTTTCAAAGAGCACTAGGTTTTCCGTCTTCACACATGCAATTTTATTTTTCTTGATGCTATTTTTATTAGAGAGGAGTTAGCAAGCTGGCTAAACAAATCTCAGCCCCTCTCTTCTAAATTAGCTCCATGGGTACAGGGTTTCCATATTTATATACGGCTGTTTTTCTCTTTCTAACTTGGCAGCTAAAGGTTTGGATCAGATCTGTTGACTATTGTATCCTTTACTCCTTTAGTTGGAAGTAGGGCTGTCAAACGATTAAAAGATAAAAAAAAGTGGAATCTACAAGCTGAAGCACAAAGGGTCATATGAATGTTCAGCATATCTGGCACGTAAATACCTTGCAACACCGGCTACAGCAGTGCCATGCAAACGCCTGTTCTCACTTTCAAGTGACATTGTAAATCAGAAGCAAGCAGAATTATCTCCATAAATGTAAATAAACTTGTGTGCCTTAGCGATTGACTGAACAAGAAGTAAAACTGAGTGGACTTGTAGGCTCTCAAGTTTTATGTTGTTTTGGGAGCACTGTTATGTAAAAAGAAATCTACATTTGTAAATTGCACTTTCACGATAAAGAGATTGCACTACAGTACTTGTATGAGGTGAATTGAAAAATCCTATTTCTTTTTTTATCTTTTTCACAGTGCAAATATTTGTAGTAAAAAATTATATAAAGTGAGTCTATATACTTTGCATCCTGTGTTGTAATTGAAATCAATATATTTGAAAATGTAGAAAAACATCCAAAAATACTTATAATAAATTTAAATTGGTATTCTATTATTAACTGTGTGTTTAAAACTGTGATTAATTGCAACTATTTTTTTAACCTAGATAATGTGTTTTTCTTTAATCACTTGAGTTAACTGCATTTAATTGACAGCCCTAGTTGGAAATAAAATTATTTAACATACACACGTGTATGAACAACTGGGCCAGGATTTCAGCCTCTCTTTCTAAAGTTGCAGTACTTAATACAAAGCAAGACAATAGGCCTAATCCTGCCAACCTTCCTAGAGCAAAACTCCTGGTCCTTATCAGGCCATTGATTTTTAAGGCTAGATTGTGGCTTTGCTACAAACCTTGTGCATGGGGTACAGAGTAGCTGCACCAACCTGGGGCAGAACAGGTAAGGGACTCTGGCTCTGAGGAACAATTTCCTCACTACTTCTTCCCCCTTGATCCAAGGAGTATAAATTTGCTGCTGGCCTGTACCACAAGCAAATTACAACCACCTCTGGCCAGCTCAGTTCTGCTGGTCAGTGATTTAAGGGGGGGGGGGGGGAACCAAGGTTCTGCCTACATGCTTCAGGGGTAGGAATAGCTTGAGCACCATGTGGGGTATAAGGGGAGCCTTTACATGAGTAAGTACACCAAGTCCCAACCTAGCTTTTAGACAGCACTGGTCAAGGACTTATATACTGATCTCTGTAAGGACTGTACTGACGCCAGTGTTATCCAAATAACCTATATTTACTCAATTCAAAATATTCAGACTTCTATAACTTTTCAACGCTAGCATTTGTATAGATATAACTAATTAACATGAGACCCCTTGTCTCTGGAATTCACTCTCCATTCCCCTCCTTATTCCCCAATAGTCTGAATCCACTGATCATCAAGGTATGCTGAATAGCCCATTTCACTAGAGCTGGGGGAGGCATGTCGATATGAAAGGTTAGGTATTTCTAGGGAAACAGGATATTTCTATTTTCCATTGCTGGCCAGATTATTTTTAAGTGTGGGTTTGGGGCTCTGCCCCAAGTGGTTTTGTTTTAGACAATTGTTAAGGCTCCTAGAATCTGGGAGAGGCATCTGCTTAAATGTATTTCAATCAAAATAAATAAAGGCCTGAAGGTGATTCCATCTCCTGCACCACAAAACACGAACAGGAACACTGAAACTATGGATTAGAACAGTGACCAGGCCAGTTCAGGAAGCTATAGCTCCTTTCTAACCAGGAGCATCCAGATGTTCATCGAATCAAAAATTGAATGGGTTGAATATATTTTTAATCTACTAGATTATGTCTGTGAGATTGTAAAGGAAGCTACTTACATCCTCATCAGGATCCTCCAATTCCTCTGCTTCTTGCTCAGGACTGACTCTCCCTTCCTTCCAATTTTCATTGCCTGAGTTGAATTTATACACATTGCCATCACGAAAACTTTCTTTTCCCTTTAATGAGGCCCAGCGAGAGCTCCAGTTATGGCCGCTATAGAGTTTAGGAGACTTGGGAAGCCACTTAACAGAGTCCTGGTGAAGAAGAATAAAACAAGACAAGAGGCAATGAATAGATTTTTAAAATGTGACTGTATTACTGTCAATATCTACCTAGCAAGGAGATGGTCTGGCAAGTATGGTTGAGTGTTTCATCATCACATAATTCTTCATTGGCTTACACAGAGGTAAGCACTGCACCTAGGAAAGTGCCTTTAGTCCAACAGAGACAGTTAAGGTATGCCCACACTGCAATTGAAGGTATGATTTGCATTAGCTTTAATCTAGTTAACACACTAGTTTTAATCTAGCTAATACACTTAAAGGTGAAGACCATCTAACCGCTGTTTTGACCTGTGCTAGCTAGATGAGAGCTAGCGTGAGCACACATACCTGAGCTACAACTCATACTCAATTGCAGCATAGATGTACCCTTAAGGAGTAAACAGGCTGTAGTGGTGGCATGGGGCATGATCCGAGATCAGCCAGCATTGAATCGAGACCACATTCAGCATCTTAAAGGAGGAGCTCACTGCTTACACTCAGATAAACACAATTGGCAACATTGTCCGTGAGAGCACCAGGTAGTGGCTTCTATACTGCTCTGTTAAAACAAACGGTCTGATAGAGCAGCCACGACTTCACCTGCTGTTTCTCCCCATCTCTTGGTGTAGAATCCCAGTGATAGTTAAGTGTTTGCTTTCACTGCCCTTGGAACGAAGTGCTTTATTTTAAAAGCATTGCCAACAAAAGATAAGAAAACAGTAAATTAGTATTTTTTTTAAAAAGTTCACGGATATCTAAAGCACTGTGAAAAAGCCAAGGCACAAAGGGAAGGGGGAACTTTGAGAGCCACATAGCATGCTATTATAATTTACCATGTGGTAATTTAGTCCAGTTTTCACAACATGTGGGCCTCTCATTAAAGCTATACAAAAATAGTTCTCTTTTCCCACCCAAACTTACACATTTCAGAGAGCTTTGCAGTTACACAATGTGTGGACCCTAGAAAAGTTGCATGTAAAGATGGGTGATAGTGGTCACACATCATCAAATGTACATATGTTCTCTTTGAACAAACTCCTTAAAGCTACAGTATTGACCCTGGAAATGAGGCAGCAGCTAGGGAGGTTGGTGTTGGGAAAGCATCAGTTCTTTTACATTGCACTTCTACAATAGCTTCCATCTGAGGATCTCAAAAGCATTTTACAGCCTAAGAACATTTCTATAATTGGTAGGTATTATTCTCATTTTACAGATGGAGAAACTGAGGCACACAGGTTATACGCCCCACATAGAATCATAGAAATGTAGAACTAGAAAAGGACCTTTATAGGTCATCTAGGCCAGTCCCCTGAGACAGAACTAAGTATTATCTAGACCATCCCTGACAGGTGTATGTCTAACCCCTTCTCAAAAATCTCCAATGACAGAGATTCCACAACTTCCCTAGGTAAGTTATTCCTGAGAGTAACTACCCTTACAGTTAGGAAATTTTTTCTAATGGCTAACATAAATCTCCCATTATTTTTTGTCCTGTCTTCAGTGGTTAAGGAGAACAATTTATCACTGTCCTCTTTATAACAACCTTTTACATACTTGAAGACTAATGTCCCCCTCCACTCTCCGACCTTCCCACTCTCGTCTTCTCTTCTGAAGACTAAAAAAAAAAAAAAAAATTTTTTTTTCAATCTTTCCTCATAGGTCATGTTTTCTAGAACTTTAATCATTTTTGTTGCTCTTCTTTGGACCTTCTCCAATTTTTCCACATCTTTCCCAAAGAGTGGTGCCCAGAACTGGAATTCTAATCTCATCTTCCAAAGTGCTTGCCACCCCTCTCAGCTTGGTATTGTCCACAAACTTTATAAGTGTACTCTCTATACCATTATCTAAATCATTTATGAAGATACTGAATAGAACTGGACCCAGGACAGATAAATTCAGAACCCCACTTGATATGGCCTTCAAGATGGAGTGTGAGCCATTGATATCTGCTCTCTGAGTACGGTTTTTCAACCAGTTGTGTAACCACCATACACTAGCTTCCTCTAGGCTATATTTCCCTAATTTGCTTATGAGAAGATCATGAGACACAGTGTCAAAAGCCTTACTAAAGTCGAGATATAGCATATCTATTTCTTCCCCCCTCCACAAAGCTTGTTAACCTGTCAAAAAAGGATATAGGTTGGTTTGACGTGATTTATTCTTGACAAATCCATGTTGACGGTTACTTATCACCTTGTTATCCACAAACCGATTGTTTGATTATTTGCTCCATTATCTTTCTGGGTACCAAAATTAAGCTGACTGGTCTGTAATTCCCTGGGTTGTCCATATTCCCCTTTTTTATAGATTGGTAATATTTTTGCACTTTTCCAGGCCTCTGGGATCTCTACTATCCTCCACAAGTTCTGAAAGCATCCTCACATGAATTTTGTCAGGTCCTGCCAACTTGAAGACATCTAACTTGGACTCTAGCAGAGGTTTACATCCCATTCATACTACACAAATTACTTGTGATGAATTCAATCCATTTTCTGAATGTATACATGAGTCACAGAGAAAAATGTAAAATAAAATAAGTGTGTGTGCATGCGCAGACATACATACGTACTCGTCAATGAGGTAAAGAGATGGAGGACAGTTCTAGACAAGGGAAACTTCAGGAAAGGCTACCTCAAGAACACTCCATCCTCAACAAATGGTTGCACTCACGCTGTTTAACCAGATGTTGGTTTAAGAAATGGTTTTCTTCATATTGCTTTTTTGTTTTTTAATGCAGCATCATTGCTGTATGAGGCTCTGCACATACACAAATTATTGGTGTCAGCACAACTGATATTACAATCTGTTTTATATATAATATAGCAGCTGGTGACAATAAAAGTCCTAGGGAGGGAACATAGGAAGACAAGGATTACAATGCTGAAAGATCATGCAATATGTTTGTAGTCTTCTTGGGATTTTGTCTGCTTGTTTTTTGTTATTATAGTTGAAGAGACTAGGTACCATGCAACAACAGTAGTTCAGTGCAAGATGTATGACAAAATTACAGAACTCTTTCACAGACTTTTCTAATAGATCGTAATACAATAAAAATTAAACATACATTTTCCATTACTATATTCCAGTATGGTCACTTTGCCTCTAAAAGAAATTAGCTGTTAAAGGATGCACTCAAAATAATTTTATGCTTAAAAACTCCCCAACCCCTGACCCTTTAATAGTAAAACAGCAAGGATTTCTGGATATTCTAAATCATGTAAGGTCAAAGTATTCTGCTTTGCAGAGCTGGAGAGCCAGTTCACTAATGAATGGAGTTTGAAAGAGCCACAAACAATCAGGTTTGCATTAGTAGCCCCCATTCCTGACAGCTTGGTAGATAGGAGAAAGGATTCTCTGTTGCATTTATTTCATCACTCTCCTTGGATGCCAGACAGCACGGGGACTGCTCCTGTGATCACCACTCTGCTTATTCTTTTTGAGATTAGGTCGGAAGATCAGAACTCTGATCAGACACATGGATTACATGAAAGAGCCACCATGAGGTTCTAGAACTGCAGGTAGGATATCACCAGTACAGGAGGTTATAGAGGTTTCAGAGTAACAGCTGTGTTAGTCTGTATTCGCAAAAAGAAAAGGAGTACTTGTGGCACCTTAAAGACTAACCAGTTTATTTGAGCATAAGCTTTCGTGAGCTACAGCTCACTTCATCAGATGCATACTGTGGAAACTACAGAAGATGTTTGTTTTTATACACACAAATCATGAAAAAATGGGTGTTTATCACTACAAAAGGTTTTCTCTCCCCCCACCCCACTCTCCTGCTGGTAATAGCTTATCTAAAGTGATCACTCTCCTTACAATGTGTATGATAATCAAGGTGGGCCATTTCCAGCACAAATCCAGGGTTTAACAAGAACATCTGAGGAAGGGGGGGAAGGGGGTTAGGAAAACAAGGGGAAATAGGCTTGAATAGAGACTGGGAGTGGCTAAGTCATTATGCAAGGTAACCTAAGTTAATTGCATCCAATTCGCAAATGAATTCCAATTCACCAGTCTCTCGCTGGAGTCTGGATTTGAAGTTTTTCTTTGAAGTTTGTAATATCGCAACTTTCATGTCTGTAATCGCGTGACCAGGGAGATTGAAGTGTTCTCCGACTGGTTTATGAATGTTATAATTCTTGACATCTGATTTGTGTCCAACCGCATTTGCTCCAACCCCTCAGACAGAGACAAACACCTACAAGATCTCTATCAAGCATTCTTACAACTACAATACCCACCTGCGGAAGTGAAGAAACAGATTGATAGAGCCAGAAGAGTTCCCAGAAGTCACCTACTACAGGACAGGCCTAACAAAGAAAATAACAGAACGCCACTAGCCGTCACCTTCAGCCCCCAGCTAAAACCATTCCAGAGCATTATCAAGGATCTACAACCTACCCTGAAGGATGACCCAACACTCTCACAAATCTTGGGAGACAGGCCAGTCTTTGCCTACAGACAGCCCCCCAACCTGAAGCGAATACTCACCAGCAACCACATACCACACAACAGAACCACTAACCCAGGAACCTATCCTTGCAACAAAGCCCATTGCCAACTGTGCCCACATATCTATTCAGGGGACACCATCACAGGGCCTAATAACATCAGCCACACTATCAGAGGCTCGTTCACCTGCACATCTACCAATATGATATATGCCATCATGTGCCAGCAATGTCCCTCTGCCACGTACATTGGTCAAACTGGACAGTCTCTATGTAAAAGAATGAATGGACACAAATCAGATGTCAAGAATTATAACATTCATAAACCAGTCGCAGAACACTTCAATCTCTCTGGTCACGCGATTACAGACATGAAAGTTGCGATATTACAACAGAAAAACTTCAAATCCAGACTCCAGCGAGAGACTGGTGAATTGGAATTCATTTGCAAATTGGATACAATTAACTTAGGCTTGATTACAGACTGGGAGTGGCTAAGTCATTATGCAAGGTAACCTATTTCCCCTTGTTTTCCTAACC